ATATATTAATAATTCGCTAAGTCAAGGCCAGGATCGTATGTATTCAAATACATATAACCCTCAATGGAGACATCACCCCAATATGTCATGGTCAACCAATAATCCAGCTGGTGTTCGAAACATCCCACCTCCTGGTTTTCAACAGCAGCAGCCTCAACCAGAGAAGAAGCCTCAGCTGGAGGAGTTGATTTTGGCTCATATGCAGAAAACAGACAATAATTTCAAGGGCCTGGATCAATTTGTCACTCAACAGCTAGCCATCAACAATAATTTACAATCGTCTATGCTAGCTATGGAGAGGCAGATGGGACAGATGACTCAAACTTTGGCGGATATGCAAGGCAGAATTCCTGGGACATTACCGACTAATACCGAGAGGAATCCAAAGGATGCCATGGTTGTAGCAAGTCACATTGAGGAGTGGGAAGGAGTTGGAGGATCCAAAGAGCAAGAAAAATCCAGTAGAAAAGGAGGGCAAAGGAGCTGCAGAGGAAGAAAGTGCAAAAGCTGAAAAATCTTACTTGCACAGGCAAACTGCATGCAATCTGCCTGTGCATGAGCATTCTGCCTGTGCAACTCCAAAAGTGGAAAAACTCAAGAATGAAGAGGTAAAGCCTTATGAACCTCCCGCACCATTCCCTCAAAGGCTAATGAAGCCTATGGAAGACCCAAACTTCAAGAAATTTGTGAATCTCTTCAAGCAACTTCAGATCAACATACCACTAGCAGAGGCACTTGAACATATGCCTACATATGCTAAATTCTTAAGGGAGTTGCTAACTAAGAAGCACAAATGGGCTGATCTAGAGAAGGTAACCCTTACTTCTGAATGTAGTGCTGTGATTCAGAATAAATTACTAGAAAAGAGGGATGATCCAGGAAGCTTCACCATTCCATGTGTCGTTGGAGGTAGAGAGTTCGATAAATCACTTTGTGATCTTGGAGCAGGAATAATTTTTAATGCCATACTCAGTCTACAAGAAATTGGGGTTGGGAGATGTTCTTAAGCCTACTCGGATCACTCTCCAATTGGCTGATCGATCAGTGAAAATTCCAAAGGGAGTGGTGGAGAATGTATTGGTGAAGGTGGGAAAGTTTATTCTCCCAACAGATTTTGTAATTCTGGAGATGGAAGAAGATCGGGGAGTGCCTCTCATTCTTGGAAGACCTTTTCTAGCAACTGATGATGCACTCATCGATGTTGGGAGAGGCAAACTGACATTCAGAGTAGGTACGGAGGAGGAAACTTTTAATGTCTTTCAAGTTGATCATAATCACGATGCATTTGATGAATTTGAAAGTGGAGCTCGAGAAAGGAAAAATTCATCTTCCTGTGATAGTGGATCATCCGAAGAACTATCACCTATCCTATCTGCTCAGATTTTGAAATCAAAGCAAGGGCAGAAATCCTTGCCAGGTCACCTCATGTATAGATATTTGGTAAGGATTTCAATCTTCCTGTTATTATTTCTTCTTCACTGACATTTAAACAGGAAGAATACTTGCTTGAGGCGCTGCAGTACCACCTACGCCTCACTAAAGGGTACAACATGCAAGATAAGAAAGTCATACCAAATTTTCGCACACCTGGCCTTGCAGAGGTGACTCATATGTTGGATGGAGGCTATGCGTTCTATCATTGCTCGGGAGGGTATTCTGGATACCTTTTCATACCCATTGGTTGAAAGCTCCATGAACGTCAGGTTGAGGACGTTAAACAAGCGCTTCTTGGGAGGCAACCCAAGGTAAGTTTTCTTTTCTTTATTTTTATTTTTAGTTGTGTCAAACTCGTGCATGTTTAGATTAGGAGTTGAACATTAGGGACATTGTTCCATCCTGAGTGTGGGGTGGTGAGTCTTAGTGTTGTTTGTCCCTGTTGCATGTGGTAAAAACAAAAAAACAAAAAACTGTCATTTGGCTATACACAGTCAAACTGCATGCAGTTTGCCTGTGTTGATGCAGTCTGCTTGTGCAAAGCTAATGGCCAAAAAACACCTAAAAATCAGAAAAATTAAAAACAAAACCTTGTACTCTTGTGGTAACATGATGTAAATGACCGTGATGCTTTGAAAATGAGGTTGTGCTTGAATGAAATCATCAAAATCACCCCACTAGTGTTGAATTGCATAGTTCTTCGCAATGAGTTTGAATGTTTTGACTGACTTGATATGCTTTGAATGAGCAAAATTCTTTTAGCAACATTCTCTTTTGTGAGGATAGTGTAATGACTTTGGTGAAGTAGTTAGGTGGAGAACATTGACCATTCGACATGTTTGGATACCGTGCTTACTTGCAGTTGTTGTGAGTTGTTGACTTTGCAATGAGTCTATCTGTTTTGAATGTTTTATGATGGGGTGAACTGTATCTTCATAAAAGAAAACACTACCTGACAAGTAAAATATAAGAAAGTTGCCATAACAATTAAAGTTTGGGTAAAAATGCCAAAATCGTGTGAGGCAATCACTCATTGCACATGGGGATGAGGAAAGATTCAATTGAGAATCGGTTCGCGACCGTACGATGTTGCTTATCAAGTACGATCCACAGTTGAGTGAAGTGCCATTTGAGGATGTGCAATGACCCTCTACACGGACCGAGGAAAAGGAGTTGAAAGAAGCCCTTATGCGAGTGCTAAGAAGCAGAAATTGCTCTTGCTCGGTCACCGGTAGTAAGAAACAAATCCCACTTGTACTAAATACGACCACTCGGCAAGCAAAATCAGAAAGAGAGAAAGCCTCTCCTTGTCATAACAGGTAGTGATGTGCTTAAAGTTAAAATCATGTTTGCGAAAGGCTTCCCCCATTAGTTTTTGAGACTCATGCTTTGTTAATTGCTTATGATTGGTGTGAGTAAGCCAGATTGTCCTCATGAGATATGCATCTCACTGATGTGGTTAGATTCTCCTAATAACTGTTACACCATAAATTGTTAATCACCCACTACCGACGATCGGAATTGAGTGTTTGCTATTTGAGTTTTTGGTGGATTTGAGTCTGTCATTGGTAATGGTTGCAAAGAGCTTGAGTGTGGGGTGAAAGGTATGATCATTAAAGCACAACTTGTCCTTTAAGAAAGAAACTACTGATTACAACAAGAGTACAAGGAAATTTTGTGTTTTGTTTTGAGTGTTTGAATGTTGAGTCTGTAATGTGTCATTGTTATAGATTGTTAGGTCTGTGTGTCTTTTGAGTCGTTTCTTAGGGACAAGCAACAATTGAGTGTGGGGTTGTGATAATCGGCTTTAATATATCTGATTCTTGAACTTTATGTGACTATCCCATGATATATTTAAGCCAATTGGTGCTATATTAGGGCTCGCTAACCCGGGAATGGTTGAAAAAACATTACTGCCTAGTGCCATGAGTTTGATATGTTCCAGGTGGAGAAAGCACGAAAAAGAAGCGAGTGCACAAGCAATTAATTGGGCCCAAATCGCTTTGTGTCGGGGAGGAGACGCAATTGGGCCACTAAGAGGAATTAAGTGGACATGGTCCATTTAGTTGGACCGGCCATCATTAACTTGGACATATTTGGGGGGAGACTTTTAATTTGGACGGAATCTCTTGAAAGAGGAAAGGAAATCTCTGGGCGGAGGAACTCTTTTTTGGCAGAGAAGGGATTTCTTTGGGGATTAATTGGAGGCGAGAACTCTCTTGGGGAGGAATTATTTTTGAGGACGAAAATCTCTTTTGGCGAAGGAAAGCAATAGGGCGCAGCGAATTTTCTGGGGGAAAGAAAGCAGCAGGGGGAGGAGGCAATTATAGAGAGAGAGAGCGAGCAGCATCGCAGCGACGAGAGGAGCTGGGCACGAGCTGATCGCCGGGCATAATTCAAAATCAGTATTTTCTTTCCTCGATTAATACGATGATTATTATGAACATAACTGTGTGTTTTATTTTCGTCATGAACTAAACCCCAATTTCTGGGGGAAACACCATAGGATGTAGCTATTTCTATATTTGATGGATTGATTCATAATTCTTTTCTTCCAATCTCTATTGCATGAAATTACTTAATGCTTTGTGTTGTCTGGCCACCAATACAACGATTTGTAGTTAATTAGGTTATTAGCGACAATGAAATCCTATTAACTGAACCTATTTCATGTGACATAGTAACTTATCGAAGAGACAGTGGATTAAATAAGGTACTATGCGGCCTTAAATAGGATATCGGTCTTTAGACTAAATAATTAACTCATTGAGCTACGACAGTAGGATTTGAATTAATTGCTTAGTACGTAGTAATTCCCGACAGGGATAGCTAGCACAGTAGTGGTATCCTGGCTGTAGAGATATGAATTAAATTGATTGGAATATGTGAATTAATCTGGATAGGATAGGTAGTGAATCCCGGTGTTTCTCCCAGAGCTTTCTCCATTGAATTTCTCCCGACAGTTTTCATTTAGTTAATTTGTTTAGTTTATTTTGCTTTTAGAAATTAGTCTCATTCAACTATTTTCACTTATAGTTTGCTCATAAAATTGATAGAACTTAAGGTTGTACCAGTCCCTGAGAGACGATACCCGGATTTCCGGTTTTACTACAAGATAGGAATTGAAGCATTACGCTTTTGCTCTATCATCTACCCGTTTCCTCAATGGAGAGAAGTGTTTTCAACCTGCCTCTCCGGCGGCGCGCACATAATTTTAACCCGCTTGTTCTCGTAAAACCAGGAAAAAAAGAAGAATAATGCAGCATACCTTGACTGCCGAGTGTGCCTTTGCTCCGATGATCTCGCCGAATTCAAATAAAACTCAGCAATAAAGAAGAGAGTAGTTGAGAATTGTTGTGGTGTGGGATTTGATTAGTTTTTTGTTTGATGTTTCCACTCTTTGTCTCTACAAAAAGTAGAAAAGTGTGTGAGACCATTGTGTCCTACAATATATTGGTTATAAACCAAAAAACCAACCCAAGGGCATTTTGATTATTTTATATATTTTACGACAATAAATTTAAATAATTAGGACGATAAATAGGAACTCTCTTACCAAAACGTCAGAGTATGGACGATCGAGAACGAGACACACATCTGCAATATAAGAAAGCGGATTCCCATCTTTCCCCTTCTCCTCCATTTTCAGCTCCGACGAGAAAAAGAAGAAGAAAAAATCAATGGGTTGCTGTGGCGGCGACGAAGACGTCGACGACCCACTTCCCATCCTTACCCAACACCTCAACCCCTCCGTCGCCGGAACCTCTTCTGCCGGAACAGCACCCAATTTCTCCACAATCTCGCCGATGAACTCCAACTTCTCCGCCCTCTCCTGCCGCGACACCCTCCACCTCATCCTTGAGAGGCTCCCCTTGGCGGACCTTGCCAGAGCCAGCTGCGTTTCTCGTGCCTGGAACGCGGTGGCCTCCGATGACGAGATTACGAGGTGGGCTTTCATGGCTCCCTGGAAATTGAAGGAGATCGTCGGGAAGCCGGGCTCCGGCGGGTTCTGGAGGGACAACGGGATAGGGAAATTCGCTGTATCGCACAAAATTGTCAGAGGGGATTCCGTTGCTAGCCTCGCTGTCAAGTATTCCGTTCAGGTATGGCGGAGGAAGTTCGATCGAAACGTTTCGATGTTCTTTAATTTGCTTTCCTTCCCAGTTTCGCTTCATAGGGAATTGAACAGATTGTATAGGGAAGTTTTTTTTTCATCCAATCAAATTTTGAATTGAAATTGGAACTCAATTCTTATATGGCTTGGATTCCTCTGATAGCTAGCTATTAATATTGTTCCTTGGTTGTTAGAAGTTAGAACTCATTTTACTCTGTTTGGGATTCTTTTCACTGGGATTGTGAATAGGAGCAATTTGGTTTAGCAGTGAGACTCTTGGCACTGACTCACTGTTGGCTACCTGAAATTCGTGGAAGTTTCGATCTTGATTAGTAATATGGTTAATGCTTAAATTCATGAAGTAGAGGGCACATTTCTACAAAGAAATTGTCCAGCTATCTCCCCAGATAGTTACAACAAAGGAGTTTTTGGCCTGCCAATTGAGATTGTTGTTTAATTGATGAGGGGAAAATGGCATGCGCCATGCTGAGATCTATTTGCAGGTTGTAGCTCAAACTTCAGGTTGGATTGAGGCGAAATGAGTGAATATGGATTATCAAACTCGATAGGAATGATTCATGTGTCACCATCTGAATTTCTTCTCTGGTTGGTAAAGGAGAATGTGGTGCCTAACTCTCTAGATATTGGTTGTTTTTAACCAATTGGTCAATGGCTGAACTGGGGAGGAAGGAGTGTTGTTCTGTACTTTGGATAGTGATCTACTTGTTCATCAAGTCTACTTTCATTTCTCATCTACTCTTCTTGCGGACCTATGAATGTGAAATTTCAACGGTTCACAATTCTGTAGATAATGGTTGATCACGAAATGGTTAAATGGCTTAGATGTTTAGGTGGAGTCTTGTTGTGTACTTGGAGTCACATCTATTCGTGCTTCAAAACTACTTTCATTTCTCACCATTACTTGTTGCTGATTTAGGACTGCGATTTTCCAGTACTGTGTAGCATGTTTCCTCTTTGTGTAGTTAAGATGCCAATCCTTTCAAAGTACAAATCTCTCTGTTTTCGTCTGCAGGTAATGGACATAAAAAGACTGAACAACATGATGAGTGACCATGGGATATACTCGCGTGACAGGTTGCTAATCCCAGTTAGCAATCCCATTCTTCTTATCCATTCCACCTGCTATATAGAGCTGGACACCTATGCCAAAAGGGAAGTGGCGGTACTCTACCTTACCGGTGAGCCTGACAGGAAGCTGAATCGGCGGTTGTCAAATAATGCGACTTCAGAGAGAGGGCGGAAAAGGGTGCTTGATTCGTTGAGGAGAAGCATGCAAGTCGATGATGGGACGGCTCTTTACTACCTGACTATCTCAGACGGGGATCCTCGTGCTGCGCTCTCCGAGTTCTCGGCAGATGTCAGGTGGGAAAGACAGGTTGGACTGGCCTAGTAGCTCAAATCAAATGTCTACGTTCGGTTAATGAGATGAAAGTTCTCTAGACTCCTTTCTCTGGTTTCTGTTGATTCCCTGTTGTTGTTTGTATATGCAATGTCTCGTGGTTATGGCAGGGATGCTGAAAAATGTTATTGTGGTTTGTGTAAGCAAGCTGAGTGAGTTGTTTGTATTCATGTGAAGATACACGATTGGAAAAAAGTTGTATGTATATGTAATATGACGTTCTCCATTTCTGTTGGAATGATTTTAGATCATTGTGTTCTGTTTAGGGTGGTTTGCAGAACAGGATTTGGGTCCATGGACAGAAAGTTATGTTTTTCATTTTGTTGAGATTTCAAATTACCAAAATTTGGAAATATCAAAATTTTCTTTCTGTTGAAATTTCAAATTACTAAAATCTGAGAATATAAAATCTTAAATCTTAATGATCAGAGTGATATATATATATATATATATATATATATATATATATATATGGTGGCGTATTCGGCGCACCCACTTTTTTGGGTGTACTCAGTGCACCCGCCTCATAATTATCATTCTGAGCATGTGATTCATGTCAAAACGGTATCAATTGTTGCTTATGATATTATGAACAAGAAGCACGTGAATTTGAAAAAAAATCATTTAAAATTTACTTTAATTTGTAGGATTTAGGATTTAGGGGTTTAGGGTTAGGGTTTAGGTTTACAGTTTGGGATTTTGCATTGGGATTTAAAATTGAAGGTTAAAGGGTTAGAGTAATAGATTGATTTGTTATGATTCTATGGCATATCATCATATTAGATTGAGAGTACTCATTAAAGTTCAAAATTTGATGTGTTATTGACACTTTTAGAGATGGGTGCACTGAGTGCACCCAAAAAAGTGAGTGCACCGAAGTAGCCACTATATATATATATATATATATATATATATATATATATATATATATATATGGGTCAGACTAGCGTACGTCAGGCGTATACTATACGTCAGGTACTATTAGTGAGATATCTCTATCTAGACCATGGATTAAATCGAGTTTGGGGTAAGATACTATACCCTAACCTCTAATGGACAAACCCCAGGCACCGATTTTCTAAACCCCATCCCGAAGTTTGATTTAATGGAAAATAAAAATTGACCGTTGAGATCGGCCGGAGCTCATCTAAGTACATCCAACCTGATGTATACTATGCGCCTGACGTACACCAATCATTACCATATATATATATATATATATATATATATATATAGATTTTTAAAATTGCTCCCTCATATTTCATCGGTTAGAAAAAATTAGCCCATTAAATACTCTTACCAATAATTTCTTGATATTTTTCGAGACAGTCCAATTCTGTTAATTAAGGGTAAACATGTCATTTGATAAAAGAAAATATTCTATTTTTTATTGAATATTAAGAACCGTAGTTACTAAACAATGAAAAGTTTATCATATTTTCTCAACAATAATTTTGAAGACGAAAAGAGATGCTAGGATTTATGGGTTTCAAAGAGGCAAAGTGACGGGATTAATATGGGATCGGAAAAGTTTATTTTCTTTAAACGAAGAAAAATTAAACATATATTACCCTTATATTAAAAAAAATGGCTTGCTTTCTTTAAATGTTGAGATACAAAAGTGAAAGAAAGCCTTTTTGAGTTCAGATATTGTCCCTCCATCCAACACACCCTATCGTGATGGGATTAAGATGTGAAAATTGATAGTCTACATTTTCCAAGTTCTTTTTCTAGATGGTTATTGGCACACCAAGGTTCGAAACTATAATGTGCTAAAATGTTGCGAACCAAGACTATATATCCTTAAATAAAACTAGGAAGGTTGACCAGCGCTACGCAGCGGTATTAGATGGGCTTTTGATTTATTTTTTACATGCCCTTGGGACCTTTCATTTTTAAATTTTTAAATTCCTTCTTGAAGAAATAATGGGGTTTTCTTCGGTAATTAAATAATGGTGTTTTTTCCTCCAAGCAAATAATCAAATTGGAGAAGAACACCATAATTTAGGGAGTTGCTAAAGGTCGCCTTAAAATTGCTAAATGTCGCCCTAAAAAACATCAAAATTACAAATTTAACCTTTTAGCTTATTTACTCTCCATTTAGCAAACAAACACAACTTAGTAAAGAAAATAAAATATTATTCAAAAGAGAGAATCCATCATCGTCACTTGCGGTTCCACCATGGGCCAACCGCAGCTCACTTGCGGTTGCACCATGGACCAACCGCAAGTGAGTTGCGGTTGCACCATGGACCAACCGTAACTTGCCTTAGGTTGAGCGGTTTTTTGGAAATTTCGTTAGAGAACGGGCGACGACGACGGCGGTAAAGACGCCGACGAACTGGTGAGTCGAGAGGGATTTGCGAAGAAGGGAGATGAGAGGTTTAGTTTGAGGGGTTAGGGATTGTTTGGTTTGTTTAAATTTTGAAATTATCTTGGGGGTATATAAGTCATTTATCATTAGAGTTAGGGCGACCGTTAGCAATTTTAAGAGCGACATTTAGCGATTAAGATAATTTACTGCTAGTTTTTCTTTACTGCAGTAGCCCTCCTCTCTCCATCTTTGACCTCGTTTTGAGCAGAGAAAATCAAATTAGCCCTGGATATTGCCTCTATCAATCTATGATCCGTCTATAATCATTGAGAATAGCATAGTTAGTAAATACTCCGTTTAATACACGTATATGTATCTGTACGTATTTTATCCGTTTAAAACTTTTGTATCCGTAGTTTTGTCAAGTCGTTTCATTTCTTTTCGTTCATTTGATGACTCCCGTACTAAACACGTATAAAATCCTTATAACACGTTTATATCCGTATTTAATGAATTAAATTGTTAACTTTACTATTATTTATATATTATTAATTTTTAAATTAATAATTTATATATTAATTATTAATAATATACTATTAATTGTAACATTAACTTAAAGATAATGTAAAATAACAATACGTATTTTATACGTAACTTTCCATACCGTATTTTACTATCTATGGAAAAGGGTAAGTTAATAAATAATAAGAATAAGTAGAAATTTAAGAAATTAATATAAATATGGGAGAATGAACCTTCCACTCCACGTGTATGGATGGTAAAAAGAATAAATGACACGTGGAGTAAAACCCCTGCTCTTTCCACCTCCATTTATCACCTACTAGCGTGGGGTCCGGCCATTTGGCCGGAGGAAGGTGAGGTATGAAATTTGATAATGTAATGGGGTGTATAGCTTATTGTTGTATGGTTTTTTTTGGGAAGCGCGTGATAAAAATAGTCAATTTTAGTAGGAAAGAGACATGAATGATGCAACGAATCAAAAATCAGCCTTATGAACCAAAATCAAGTGGTTGTTACCTTGTGAAACAATATTGTTTCTGTTAATATGATGAGGTAGAGTAAGTTTTATAGAAACCGAATTCCAAAAAATCGAATAAAAAATCGCCTATCCCGCCTGTTTTCGGGAAATGAGCATCTCATAATCGTTGCTAGGTTTTACTTGGCCCGTTGGCCGACTAATTTGCTTAATAAAACTTTCATCTTGTCATCATTGTGCTTTCTGGTTTTTTTGCCAAGCCATGATAAAATCTAAAGAAATCAAGAATGAACAACACGATTTGGGATAGGAACCACCGTTCCTGTATCCCTAGAAAATGGTGGTAAACACGGACTCACCTGCCAAACTAGTTTGGATTGAGATTTTTATCGGGTATCAGGGAACCATGTGATTATAAATTAGACTTGATCAAAACGGGCCAAAACTTGAAATTCAACCTGTTTGACCGACCCATGCCAAACTCTAATTATTCTTTCCTTTTAAACTTTCTATTTGAAAATAAAAAATAATGACAGAAAAGAGATGACTGCAATTCACCATTTGCACATCACTGATTCGGGAATAAAACTATAGAATTTCGAAAGGAAACTGAAAATGTTTAGGATTGTTTTAATGTTAAAAAGAACCAAATAGATCATTCTGTTTAGTTTTTTACTAGCAAATACCAAACGATACCCTATAATATACACTACAATTTAATCATTATGATATCAAATAATTACATAATATATATTTGAAATGATAAAAATTGGACTAATTGGGTTGGTCGAGGTTGAACCATTGAATAACTTTAAAATACATTATATTTTAGCCACTAAGATATAAAATAATAGCATAATATATATTATGCTAGAGAAAATAGCTTGTCTTAGAATGGCAAACTCATGATGTTCATTTGTTTTGCTTGATGGGCAAATCTCGTGTAGGTCAGGTCCATTCAACTCTTTTATTTTATGATTAGCGGTTAGCCCATTAGAATCCATGCATTAGTTTATTGTTAATTTTTTTTTCTTTTTAGCAATAAAAAGGAGTATTTTACCACCACGGAGAAATAAAAGGACTTAAAGAAAAAAATTGACACTCCTTGACCCGTTTAAATCTGCATGTGTACGGTAAGTTGGCCCGTTCCACCAAGGAAAAAGAAAAAAATTGACACTCCCTATTCTACCCTTCCTACAAATGCTCCTGGAGCAGGGAATTTGAAATGGGGGAAGGGTTTTTTCCTCTCTGCGATTATATGTTTTTAATTTAAAAAGATACAACAAATGTGCTTAGTGTGATTGGTTATGATCTTTGCTTTTCTTTAAACTGGTCATGGTTCGAATCCTAGTAAGTGTTTTTTTAATGAATAAAAAAAAGTAATTGTGAAGTCCAAAATGTCCTTCCTACTTTCACTCTGGATGCATGAAATTTGAAATGGGGCTTCAAGTTTTCTCATTTGCCTTTTATTTATTGTGTAGATTGTTGCTCATTCTTTATCTTTCTTGTTTCTATGGTTTCCTAGTCCTTCCATTTCTTTTCATCTGATAAAAGTCCATCTTTCTACCCTAAAGGAAAAACTGGGCAGCTCTCCAATTCATTCTGCATGTTCTATCTACTACTTTAGCATATGGGAGATGATAATGATTATGAAACCGGGGCTCTAGCTAGGTCCCATCGCTTCTTCTCCTTCAATCCGCATCTCTTGGTTGAAGTTTCTCATCTCTTTTATGGGTTCCTAATTCAAACATGATGGCAGTATCGATTTGAGCTACTACTCCAATTTTGATTATTGCCACACAACGTCAACCAAAGATCAACTTCCAGAATCTAAGATATAAAGTTGGATTCATCTCTACACAGCTTTGGCCAAACCTGCATGTACCTTGATGAGCTTGAGATCTCTATGCAATAGCTCTTCGAAAAACGTTCCTATTCACGATCGGATCCATCTCGATCACGTCTACTTCTCAGGAGATTGGAAGAAAAAATGACCTCGATGAAGTAGAGTAAGAGTGATCGATCGCTCTGCGTGTCGATTCATAATCATCTTCCATGGGCGGATCT